TTTTAGTTTTGTAGTCAGATATCCACATTAGCATATGTAGCTCATCCGCGGTCTATCATAATCATCCACGTTTGGCAGTGTTAGTTGTCATTCTCTTTTCAGGGTCATTGCCATGCTTTAGTGGTAATGTTTCAAAACTCATGGCAGTCTACCACATAGTAATTGATTTCTCACTTTCGTCAACTAATCATACTCACTTGAAGGTAGTTTGCACATAAAGATTTCCTTGACTGTTACTGCACAGACGTAAAATAGTTGCAAGATGGAGGATAGGAGCTCCTCCACCAACTAGCCGAACCCAAGAACCTGCCCCAGCTGCTGCTGGTGTGGCTTTCAGAGGGAGGTCTTATCGACTTAGCGAATGATTGCGACCTGTAAAGGCGCTGAGATTTTTCAGATCATTTAAACTTTCTCACTTTTTTGTGGAGGCCGAAACTAACAAGCAGAAAGGAAGCAATTTGGTCATAAAGGCCCTAACTGTTGCAATTGTTGTAAAAATTCCCCATTGAGGATACATTTTCATAGTTTGTTGAACTTGTGAAGCGAAATGGAGAATATTTCAAACAAACTACAGATTGTTTGAGTTGCTGCGAATGCTAATGATGTAGACAAATCTTTACACCAATTTAATTCATTCTCGGTGCACCATATGTTTGAATTTAAATACGAGGCCTCAAAGTTTTGATATCAATTGATCCAACAGATGATATATGATAATCTCGTTATCAACCTTTATTAGAAATTCTTGGCGCAAAATATTCGTTCTTCAATAAAGAACAGACATGATGATGTCGAAAATGCATCAATAGCGTGTTTACGTATTTCATTGGCAACAATAACATTTACGTGTTATCTATGTCATATTGACAGATTTAAAAACATACATCTATTTCAAAGTCGAACTACAACATTAAACAACTTTTGGTTCTTGGTTGTACAATTTTCTGGGATAGTTTGGAGATTTGAGAGAGAGGGAATAAAGCATTTCTGTTGGCAATTTCAGGCAGGGTAATTGATGGATGGATTTGAGAGGGGAGATTTGGGATAAACTAGCAATATTTCTCCAACAGAAACAGAGGAAAAATGGTCAAATAAGTACAAAGACCAAGGATAAAGCGACACGTGGCAGCATGAAATATGAAGGATAGAGAGAGAATGGAGGTGAGCCATCAGATGAGATCCAGGTTTCTCTCTTTCAAAGCTCTCCCCTCCCCCCACATTTGTCTCTCCTCCCTTTGTTTATAATTTGCTTTCTCAAAACAAACCACAATATTAATAACTCCACCAAACAAACAAATCACTTCCTCCTTCAGAAAAATTCTCACAGCTTTCTGTACACCAACAAACAAGAACACAACAAGCATAACACAAGGCAGACTCTTGCACTACAACATCAGAGGTAATCCAAAATGTCGTGGCAGACCTACGTGGACGACCACTTGATGTGCGATATTGACGGCCAGGGACAGCATCTCACCGCCGCTGCCATCGTCGGTCTTGATGGCAGTGTTTGGGCCAAGAGCTCTTCCTTCCCTCAGGTCCAGCCCTACCTCTCCACCTTTCACTATTTGCGTGCTTTCCTTTGTGCTTTCTTTTTGGACTTGTGTTGCCATATAATATTTGGTTACATCTTCACACTGTGAATAGAGGCCATCTCGAAGCTTGCATAGTCATGATCGACAATCCACGTTCACAATCTGACAACATAGTATATTGTCATCGTTTTCGTTGTATGTTGTTTGGTGTTCAATATAGTTGCATTACATGCTTTACTTCATCTGATCCATATATTCAAAATATCATAAGATATTGAGTTCTTATTGCCACATAATATATGGTTATATTGTCATTATGTGAAGCGAGGACACATTCTCAAGCATATTTTGTCATGATCAATAGTACGTGCTCACAGTTTGACGACGTAATATACTTATATGGCCGTCTTTATTGTATGCTGGTTGGTGTTCAATGTAGCTGATTGCATGCAGCATTGTTAATCTGTGGTTGATCTCTTTCATACAGAAATGCATGTGCTTGTGGATTTAATTAGGGTTCATTATATATCATTCTTCACATGCAGTTTAAGCCAGAGGAGATGACTGGTATCAACAAGGATTTCGAGGAACCGGGCCACCTTGCTCCAACTGGCTTGCACCTTGGAGGCACAAAGTACATGGTAATCCAGGGAGAGCCTGGCGCTGTCATTCGTGGAAAGAAGGTACGAGCCTCCCATATTGTCAATAATGTATCAATAACATATCAATACATTTTGTTAACTATAATGATGTCAACACATCATGGATTTCATATCAACAATTTGTTCTTTTGTCTGTTCCATAGTCGGACTACACATACTTATTGCACAACTTTTAGACTAAGATCTCCTTTGTAATTGGTTTTTTTAGGGCTCTGGAGGAATCACCATAAAGAAAACTGGGCAAGCTCTAGTATTTGGAATCTATGAAGAACCAGTGACTCCAGGGCAGTGCAACATGGTTGTTGAGAGGTTGGGCGATTACCTTGTTGATCAGGGCCTGTAGGCTAAATAATATTCTACCATGTTCATGATCTCCTAGCATTCAATTTTGGATCTTATTTTTCTTTTTGTTTTGGGGTTTTGGTTCCCAGTTTGCATCTCCTTCATCCAAAACCCTAAAAACTGGTGGTGAAGTTGTTGCAGACAAACCATGTGACAAGGACTAAAAGCAGTTTGGTGTTTGAAATTGTTTGAATATTGCATAAGCTCTATATTTTCATGATATATTTTTGTATCCTTTTATTCCCTCCGTATTTCCCTTAATCTCTTGGAGTTTTTCTTAAAGAATCTTTATCTGGCAAAAGCTTGCCAGCACATATTTGAAGCGCTGGTTGTGAATTTATGATTTGGTTTTTTATTTTTCTCACAAAAGTTATGAGATGTGCTCGCGACATGTTTGGTACAATAATGAATCAAACAACTAGTTGCATTGCATATAAAGAAGAACGTGTCGACGAGACGAGGGAAACTTATTTACAGCATAAACATCATTTTAATAGTACTTTTAAGTTAATAACATGCATCAATCATGTTAACTTTTTTATATAACAATACGTCATAGACTTAATATATTGCATATGTGACATCCCGATTGCATAAAACAATACTTAGTCATTGATGCACTTGCATGTAACATTGCTAGTTGGCAACCAATGGTCTTCAAAGACTAAATCCTTCCATTTTGGCGTTTGATTAATGGTTTTGCTGGCAAGGGAATATTTATCATCATTTTTTATTTTAATGGTGGGAAAATCCACCATCATGGATTGCCATGCTTTCCTCAGAAATAAGAAGACCTCAGATATTGCAAGTTGCTGCATGTCCTCACATGTCATAGGGAATACCTCCTAATTAAAAAAGAAAGAATTCTCCTTTGGGAAAGTGACGGGACAGAAAATCTAAGTTAACTGTTAGGGTTAAGAAAAAGATGAACAAATCAAAAGTATTTTTACCAGAAAGAAACAAACAAGAGTAAGACTAGGATAGACAGAGATTCTCCTAAGCGTGGCCTTTTTTCATAATTTATTTTATCCTTTTGTAGCTTTAAGCTTTGTCGTTGGGAAAGAACACAGATCATGGTTTTTATATTATAGGAGCAAATAGGTGTAAAATTTGAAGCATTTCTTAAAAAAATAAAAATTGAAAATTGAATAGATTTGGAGCAAAAATAGCAAAGAAGATGTTGAAAAATATTACATCGGCATATAATAATAAAAAAATGACGTATTCTTTTACTTTAATCAAATTACCAAAACTGAAGTGTAAAAGAAGGCTGGACTTTAGACGTCAAAATTGACGCCAAATAAATTTTTTGTTTTTAACAAAGGCACTCAACGTGCCTTACATTAAATGATAGTATATTCAAATGTTTTTGTTGCTTTTAAACCAGTAAATACACAACTTTTATTATTTTTGTTTGAAAAAAAAAAACATAAATGAAGCGATAAATTTTAACATATTGGGTGAAAAAAAAAATGTTGACAAGATGTCAAATAACCAAGTTAACCATCAAATTGAATTTTGATGTTTTAAATTTGACGTCTCCTTTGAAGATGCTTTAAGAGAACCTAAAGTAGTTTAATGTTCTAAATTTCATACTCTTATGCCGATGGGATGAATTTGTTTGGCATATTTCCTATGTGCTATTTTTGCATTTGCAAAAGAAATATAAGCAAAATGCACACAAGAGGGTGGATGTGTTACATCAATTTCATGCATTTATTCATGCATGTGGGGTTGATATGAAACGGACATGACATCTAACTTACCAAAAAATGCACATTATCATAAAAAGATACTAATTATCATGGAATAGCTCAGTGGTTGAGAATAAATTTTAGACCTATACTCAACACGACACATCCTTCATTTAATTCATGACGCTAGTGAATCATACGATGATGGCTAATGTGTGAGTCTTCCTGACCTTCGAAAGGATGGACTGCCATAACAAAATTATCGATGGGTCCATTTAAAAAAAAATCATATGAAAGATACGAGACATTGTCACGTGAGTATATTGTTCGAACTCTATAATTAATTAACATTTGAGCGTCGTCTCACGTTGCATTAATTTTGTATCTTCCATCCCACATTAGAGAACTCTCGTATTCTTAATTTCTAAGAAATATAGAACTTTTGAAGTTGCAATTATATTACAAATGAGATAATTTTCACAAGATCAAAGATAAAAGAAGTAATATAGTCCTTAATAATCACACAAATTTCAACTATATGCTTACAAGTTATATTGAATACATAATATCTCCTAAATTTGTTTTTTAAGGGGGGAAATCATTTAATACATCCTTAATATTTTTTTATAAGAAAAAAAGGTAAAAATATTCAGAATTTAAAGAGATTCACCCTTCGGACAAAAAATAAATTAAAATTTAGAAAAAGAAAAAGTATGTAAAAACTGCGTGCGCAGCCTGGGAGTATAGAAGACAGAGGGTTGAAACGAGAGCTGAATTTCCTCCGCAGCACCCCAAAACCTCCGATTCAGCAGCAAATCCCACCAGACACACGAAAACCTACGAGAAACCTCAAAAAACAGCAACATGTCTTGGCAAACGTACGTCGATGACCATCTGTTGTGCGAAATCGAAGGCAACCACCTCTCCGCCGCAGCCATCATCGGCCACGACGGCAGCGTCTGGGCCCAGAGCGCCACCTTCCCTCAGGTACCCATCATTTTTTTCACTCTCTTCCTATAAAACACCTCAAAATTTCAATTTTTATAATCCCATCTTGCTTAAAGCTTAGATTTTTGGTGGGCAAGTCAAAGTTTGATCCGGTAAACAAATCGATTTGTGCGATCTTTGATCTGGGTTTTTATCTAACCACATCGTAGGATGCCGTAATTTGATAAAGATTAGTGCTTGATTATTGATTGGTTAGTGTTTTGGTTGTTATTGTTTGGGACAATTAGTTGAAGCCTGAGGAGGTGACTGGCATTATGAATGACTTCAATGAACCGGGTTCACTTGCTCCGACCGGGCTGTATCTTGGAGGGACCAAATACATGGTGATCCAGGGTGAACCAGGAGTTGTGATTCGAGGAAAGAAGGTAATATTTGTCGCTTAATTTGATCCATTCGTTTCCAATACTTACAAACCACATGCACGATTCATGCCTATGTATTTTGGTTTTGGGAAATACGCACAAATTGAACTGGTTACATAACATGTATGGAGATGGGTATATAACACGGTTTAGTGATTCGTTATTGGATGTTACTGTTACTCCATTTCTATTTTTATTGAAAGTTTATAGTAATCGTTCGTGTTTCCCTTCGTTTTTTGTTTTCATGGTTCTTGATCTGGGTTTGTGTCACTTTAATCGCAGGGCCCTGGTGGTGTCACTGTGAAGAAGAGCACTATGGCTTTGTTGATCGGGATTTATGATGAGCCGATGACTGCTGGCCAATGCAATATGGTTGTCGAGAGGCTTGGGGATTATCTCATTGAGCAGGGTCTCTAGTTACCTTGGTATGTTGTTTGTTCTTTTACTTGAGAGAAACTTACCGACAGGCCAATCAAGATCTTCCATTGCAAAATATAAAATATATGCAGATGCAGTGCTTGTTTGGATGTGCATTTTTGCTCACCGCCTTTAAGCAGCGGTGAACATTTTCATCACATTAATCACCATTGGATGAGTTTGATTTACTCTATTTGCCACATAAATCTCAAATTTAAACTCATCCGATGACACTTAATATGGTGGTAATGCTCACAACTTAAGAGTGGTAATATGACCATGGTGCATCCTAGTTTGGGCAAGTTCTTATGCTTTTGGTTAGGTAAATCTTCATGATTTCTATAGAAGTGTTCATCTACTCATCCTGACTGGCTGCCGGAAATGTTTTGCTGCAGTGAGAAGAAAAACTACCTGTATTGCTAGCGTTGGAACCTCTTGCAGAAACAATATTGGGTGCTTGAGAAGTGATGATTATGGTCTTGTGTTATTGTCTTTGTACTTTGATGATTTGTATTGTATGATTTTCAAGCGAGGTACTTGTCCAATGGATTTCAGTAATGGATGTTGGAAATTGATTTGCATGATTTATAGAAAATTTATTTTTATCATGGTTTTTCTCTGGTTTTCAGTAAATGGTTCTCTGTTTACAAGAGATATGATCCCGGCATAACACCGTTGGATTCAGAATCTGCGTGTATGAAAGTCCAAATTTCATAGCATGGTTTCTTGGAGATTTCTTAGAATTGTTTCTTGGTGACGATTCTGGTAACATTTGGTTTGAAGATACTTGTTTCCGGTGTAGTCTCCGGCTTCAGTTGAGGTGGTGGTGGTGGCATAAGTTACAGGCAGGGTTAGTGTGTCGAGGCAATACCGAAGTGTATGCATGAAACTTTAGTATTGCCTTGACACACTGCAGATGTATATCGTAGCTACGTCGACTCGTCCTCTCCAACTGAGGTGTGAAGTTCAAACATAAGATGCAACATCTTTAGTTCAAACTTAAGCCTCTGCAAAAATATGTAATTCGTGTCATCCCATCTTCAGAAGACAAACGCTATCATACAAAACTTAGGGAGCAGTTTGATGTTCAGCAATTACAATTCTTTCCCTTGAAAACGGGGCAACAACTTTCAAAAACCAACACCGCTCCCTGCATTACACTAATCACCGGAATACAAGAATCGCCAATCGCCATTATCTGCTCTCCGCGGAAAGGAATGACATCAAAGTCACCAGAAGGCAACTAAAAATCCATGCTTGAACTCCGTTCCTCGTGGAAGAGGAGGTAGAAGATATTGCAGTCGTATTACTTGATACGGTTTTGTTGCTCCTGTGCGAAAGTTGCAAAAGAAGAAAAGATCGGTAAATATGGAGTGCAAAATTGACAAACAGAATTCGTAGGGTTTTTGTTTATACAAAACTTACCCAGTAGTCATATAGATGCAGTTGTCATAGCCTGCACAAGCGGAGGAAGATTAGTTAGTTTTCAGCGAGACCTGTTAAAGAAATCTGGCTTAAAAGCAGGGCTTGGATCCGTGAATACGTACTTGGGTTCTTATCGACCTTGATCCCTGTACCTCCGAAACTGCAAGCAATATCAGTAGCCCCATTTTGCTGGTAATAAGTGTTGAATGCAAACGATGCGTGAGCCACTGTATTATCTGGCTCGAAACAAGGCTGGCTAGGCTGAATAGCTCTACAGTCCACATTCCCAGGACCACAAGCCCAATCCAAGGCATTCTGCAAGTCGAGTTCAGAAGCCTTACTCGAAGCAATGCACCAAGTTGTCGTTGTTGTTCCATTTGAACTGGTAACATTAGTCTCTGTAGTCATATCCACGGAACCTTTTCCTGTGAAATCCAGGTTGTAGACGCTAGTCTGGTCCGGGTAAAATAGCCCCCAGTTCCTCTCAGATTCCAACCCTGGCTTCCTATTTTCGTTGAACAAAGAGAAGATGTACACATCCAGCCTCTCTCCAGGCTTTGCGGGAGTACCAGTATCGTTGATGACATGTCGAATCAAATTGGTATTGTAAGTTTGGGCATTATCAGGAGTTGCAGCTGTCTCTTTAGGCGATCCTTTCGAAGGCCAGCCCGTCTCAGTGACCATGACTTTGATTGTTTTGAAATTCAGGGCCATCAGCGCGTAATATATAGCGTCAATCTGAGCATCGAGCATGTTAGTGTATAGCAAACCAGTGTTCGGATCAATAACTTCTGACGATGCCTCAAATAGAGCGTAATCCAAAGTGCCATTGCTTGGAGAATCTCTGTAAGCATAGTATGGATAAATATCAACCATGAAGGGCGACTGGTTTTCGGCAAGGAATTCCAACAGCGGTTTCAGGAAAGACGCATGGCTGCTATTAAAAGCCCCTGCTGAGGGAGGGAATGATCGGGACAGAACTCCGAGGGAATGTGTGCTCGATAATTTGATCTTCTTAGACAGACCAACTTTTTTTAAGGCTGTGAGGACATTTCTCATGGCCGGCACTACTTGGGCAGAGAAATTACTGGAGCTCTCAGTAACTTCAGCTCCAACTGTTATGTATGTGATCTTCGTTGCTGGGTAGTAAGGAAGGATGCTGTTCTTGAGCCAGGTGTCTGCATTGGATTGGAACTGTGAAAACGCCAATAAATCTGAGTTCGGAACCCCAATCATAAGTTCAACGCCAGTGTTTGCAAAGGCCTTGAGGACTTGTATGTTGGAGTCGTAAATCCTAACATATTTAATATTATGAAGCTGGACAAGCTGTGCCGCTTTGTCAGGCGTAGGAAGATCATCAGCATTTCTTCCATAGCAGATTCCAATAGTACTTCCCCAGCAAACATCTGCCACGAAGATCAACAAGATTCAAACAAATGAACATTCATTCAACTTCGGAAATGTCCGGAAACACAAATATACAAACACCAACTGAAAGATTGTATGACCGTCAACGGATAGTGGTCTAGCAGCCAATGTCTACCATTAAACCCGAAACCGTATTCCCAAGTCCCTCAACTAATTCCTAGTGACAGTTAAACAATGTCAACATGCATTTTACGGAATAATCGCTTCCTCTCAGGAACAATTGCTTCATCAGCTATGAACCCTTTCAATTGCTCAAATTTCAAATTTGAATATTTTCCAATTGACCATACCACATTATATACTTGTTCGTATCAGATCGTATTGTAAATGACCAAAACAAGATAGGGTCCTCAAAACCCCAACAACTTGAATAAAGGATAAAAACAGAGCAAATATAAAAGAAAATCATTAGTTTAAGCTCCTACATTCTTAGAATTTCACTCTGTTGAAAAACGATGGCGAAAAACGAGAAAAAAGATCCCTAAATGGCCAATATTTCCTTTTTGTTTGTGCATAATGTGTGTGAATTTTCTCTTAAAGCACTTTGTGAAACCAAAGATCCAATGGCTAAGAAGCCAAATAAGAAAAACCACTTGTTAAACAAAGAAATCCCAGCTGAAAGCAGTTCAAACACCATCATCAATGCCCACCAAAAGAGAAAGAAAGCAAAAAACGACAGAGATAAATAAGAAGAACCGAGAAAGAAAGACGAACCCAAAAGTATAGGCAGCAGTGAAGTTGCAATGAGAAGCCGGAAGAACCCTCTTCCCATTTGCTCTTTTTCTTTCTTTTCTCAAACAGCTTCTGCTTTTCTCCTTCCTCTCTGAGCTCCAAGCAATCTCTTCAACGTTCTTGTTCCTTCTTGTGAATGGCAACGGCACCTTGGTCCTTTTCCACTTTCCCAAAAGCCTCTTCTCTATCCGTGTGGTTTCTCAGAGCTCGATGGTGAAAGCACTTAAGAATCAACTTATGGTAAGCTAGTAAGCACTTTTGCTTCTACGTATGTATAGGTAGGGACTTTCTTGAGTTACTACACATATTTTAACTGCTAAATTTTTATTTAAAAATATAAAAATATAAATTTAGCAGTTAAAATATAACCGGAACTTCGGAATACCTAGGAACTTTCTTTATTATTAGACCAAATCTAACTTTAGGTTAAATGTTATTTTTTAGGTTTTATTCTTCTCTCAAATTCAACTTAACTCATGCTAAATGTATGGGTTAAAAGCTAAAAGCCAAACAAAGCTAAATTTCCCTTAGGATTTAGCCCAAAAAATGGGGTGGGCACCACCAACGGGACTCCATCCACATGGGCATGTCTCATGGAATTTATTGAATCCAACAGCTGAGATCGAATATAATCAAATCTAACGGCAAAAAAAAGATCTAACAACCCGAATTTAAATTCAATGGTTAAAATAATTAAAAAATTATTTAACTCAAAATTCATCTAAATTTAGTGATTTTTTAAAATTTATCAGAATTTAAATATTTTTAGATTAAAATGTTCATAAAATTAAATTATGATAGTGTACATAATTAAAAAAAAAAAGTAGCTTGAAAGAAAAAATTAACCTAAATTTATAATTTAATAATCTTAAAGTAAAAAAATTTAGATCATAAAGATTAGGATAGAAAAATTGTTTCTGGATTAAAAATTTTAGATTTGAATCCAAGGGTGAAGATGGTGTTAGGTACAGGTTTAGAGCTCAGTTATTAGTAGGGGAGGAAGCTTTTCAGGGTTTTTAGTGCTTGTGTCAGCAGAAGGACCGGACTTGGCAGTTTAGTATAAAATCTAGTTAATTCAAAGGCATCGGGTCCGGAAGTAACTTTGCATGTCTCAGTGGTAGGTTCTGCTTCGCACTGTTTATTTTAATCCTTAAATATGTACTGCTGGTTAAGCTGCTACTGTTGGGTTTCTGTATGTAGTTGCTAAATGCCAAACAAACGGTCCCATTCCACCAAGGGATTCTGCTTACTTCCATTGTATATAGAATATTAGAATATTAAAAGTGATAACTGCAGGTAAAACATATCTTTGTCTCTAGCTTTTTGGATTTTGGTCTGCTATAGGTAAATCTAGGAGAACTACATGTATTACAAGTTTTGTAGTTTATCTATCAACTATCTACCGACCGTTAGATTTTCAACCTACGGTGAAAGATGTGTCGGGTGGTTTTACGAATTTAATACCTAAATTTAGTTGATTAAAAAGAAAGAAAAGAATATTTAAGCGTTAAATTTTTATTGATGAAAAATCACTTGGCATAAGTGTCGGATACCGCTAAAAATTTCTCCTATACTAACTAGTTGTTAATAAAAAGAGTCCTCCGTCTTCACGTACGTTATGAGAAATGTTGATAACCGTCTTGCTTGGACCTTTCGTTTACTTTCTTGGCTCTTTTTATGTTATGTTGTTTGATGATCAAAATCGTCTCTTTTCTATATCACCCTTTATATATCAACTCTTCAATCAATCAAATCATAAATCCTTTAACCGTTTGATTAATGTCGTCAAATCTAAGTATTCAAATAAGAAACATGGGTTGTCTATATGACTAAACGATTTTGGGTTTAATTAAATTTTGGCAGAGATGATCATTAAATGGTAATCAATAAATTAGACGGTTTAGATAATCCTTCAACATTGTAGATGAGAAGAAGAGTCAAGAGGAAGAACGAGAATATCCAAATGAGAATGTTGCTAGCATTATTCTTACGTTATAATCTGTTATTTGTATATAAAAAAGAA